ATTGATGCTTTTGAACTGTGGTGTTGGAGAAGACTCCTGAGAGTCCCTTGGACTGCAAGGAGATCCAACCAGTCCATCCTAAAGGAAATCAGTCCTGAATATTCATTGGAAGGAGTGATGCTGAAAATGAAACTCCAATACTTTGGCCACCTGATGCGAAAACCTGACTCACTGAAAAAGACCCTGATACTGGGAAAGACTGAAGTCAGGAGGAGAAGGGGATGACAGAGGATGAGATGGCTGGATGGCATCACCAACGTTGATGGACAGGAGTTTGAGTAGGCTGCACGAATTGGTGATGGACGAGGCCTGGCGTGCTGCAGTCCATGGGGTCACAAAGAGTCAGACATGACTGAGCGACTAAACTGATGTCTGTTTTCATGGGTTACTTTATATATATATATATATATATATATATATATGTATGTGTATTTACATATACACATATATCTATATGTACACATACACACACACATATACATACGCACACATTTTTACACATATATATTTAAGTTCTGTGCACTGAGAGAAACTAGAAGCACCAGAAGACAGTAGCCATGTGCACGCCAAGCATCCAGATTCTAGCTTCCAAATATCATTCCAAAAGGAACCAAGACTCCATGAGTATAAAGCTTGGGAAAATACAGAATTAGCCTGGAGCATCTTCCAGTGCCAAAAAGTAAGAAAGATGGGGAAAAAAGATCAGCGTATGTTTCCAGGACACAAGAGCCCGTCTGAAAGAGTGTCCAATGGCTAAAGCTGGAACAATTTATTTGAGCAACAAAACAGATTATCAAAATAATGTTAAACTACAACTCAAAGGAAAAAAGTGAGTTTATACTGATATAAATGATTTAATAAGTTCCTACTAATATAGACAACTGAATAAATAAACAAACAAATGGGGGACAAGGGACAGATCTTTATAGAAGAATTTCAATTAATAAATGGCAGAAAAAATGTGGGAAACAGGAAATCACCATGAGGATACTACAGTTACAATAGCTGTAGGCAAGAACCACTGGCAAATGCTAAAATTACTGGACAAACATTAAAGAGAAAGGGAATACTTGCAGAGCCTCTCCTAAAATTTTACTCATTTTAGTAAGTGGTGGCTTTAACATGCCCATAAATTCTTTGACACTCCTTTCTCTCTCCAGGAAGTGAAACGTAACTCCCTCTTTGAGTGTGGGCTGGACTTGGAGACCTACTTCTAAAAAAGAGTGAATGGAAAGAGAAAAATATTAAGTTGATAGTGGAGAAACCTATAAGACACCATCTTAACCAAGTGACCAGGGTTAATGTCACCAGTACAGGTCATGTTGATGGCATACATTCCTAATATGCTATGAGAAGGGCAATTCACCTATAAGGAATATTCTTTCTCCAAAGCCAATAACCCTAGTCTAACCATGAGAAAAACCCAAATTGAGAGACACTCTACAAAATATCTGACCAGTACACTTCAAAACTGTTAGTGTCTTGAAGGAAAAGACCGAGACACTGGCATAGGCAGAAGACAACTTTGAGATCATTTTAACCAAAAGCAGTGTGGCACCTGCAAAATGTATAAGAAGAACCATGCATCTTTATGACTTAGGGTTCTAGGCAAATATTGTCAATAAGTCCCAAAAGCACAAATCTTAAAGAACAACATATTTGACTACTGCTGCTGCTGCTGCATTGCTTCAGTCATGTCCAACTCTGTGAGACCCCATAGATGGGCAGCCCAGCAGGCTCCCCCGTCCCTGGGATTCTCTAGGCGAGAATACTGGAGTTGGGTTGCCATTTCCTTCTCCAATGCATGAAAGTGAAAAGTGAGAGTGAAGTCACTCAGTCATGTCACATATTTGACTATGAACATCAAAATTAAGTATTTCCGTCAACAAAAGGTGCTGTGAACAGTCAAAACACAATCCACTGATTGAGAAAAAAACTATATGCCTAACAAAGTCTTGGTATCTAGAACATATAAATAGCGCAAATTCAACATGAAAAGCAAAAAAAAAAAAAAATCCAAATTTTTTTAAAAGGACAAAGGATATGAACAGAGATTCCAAAAGTACAATAAAAATCTGAGAAGTTACTCAATCTCATTATTAATTAGGGAAACACAAATTAATACAATAATGTACAGAAAATTCTAAGAACTACAACTGCCAAGGAAATAGTTCATAATGAAGAGAAGATGAGTAACTGTTAATGTGTTCATGCATCTTACATAGGAAATGTTATATATCATAGACACAAGGAAACATTCATTGAAACATTTAAATATACTTACTTACTAAAACCAAAGTTAACTGACTGGTCGCTGAGAATTTCGAACTGTACAGGACGATCCCCCATACAATATTTTCTTAATAACTCGAGGCAGGCATGCAATGTTTTCCTTGAAGGTTTGTTTTCATGAAAAAGATCACCACCTAACAAAATAAAATCCACCTAATCAACAGAAAATAGTGTGAAAATTAGTATGTGTTATAGGTAAAATTTTTAAAACTATAGACCAAAGAGAGAAAAAAATTTTATAAAAGATACCATTACATGTGGAGATTTAAAGTTTCATATTTTTTTCATTTAAAGGCCCTTCCAATCTGGTTACTAATCTGACTCCCACTTAGGTTCCCAGGCCACCTTCAAAAAGCCATCTTCAAATTACTATACCAAGTCTCTAACGCATGCTGACAGAAGTGATTTCTTTTTTTAAAGTTATCCAAATCAAACATAAACTTTGCACTTTAATAAAACCTATAGAAGGAATGGTTCAGTGGTAAAGAATCTGTCTGTCAAGCAGGAGACCCAGCTTTGATACCTGGGTCAGGAAGATCCGCTAGAGAAGGAATAGGCAACCCACTCCAGTATTCTTGCCTGAGAAATCCCATGGACAGAGGAGCCTGGCGGGCTGCAGTCCATGGGGTCACAAAGAGTCAGAGACAACTTAACAACTGAACAACATGGAAGGAAGAGCTGATTCAATCCAAATTATTCACTTGATTCATTCAACAATTATTTAGACTTCCTACAGGCAGTGACAGTTCAGGAAATAGCAATCTACAAAACAGATCATGTCCCTGCCCTCACTGAATACAATGTGCCATACCTCATACTGAGTATGATGAATAAAATATGACCCCTATTCTATTCAAAATCCAGTGGGAGAGACAAACAGCTATGCATCTAAACATAAGTCAGACTCTGACTCACTAGAACAGATATATAAACAAACCAGGAGTAGAGATGAAACTACAATTATTAATAATTCTAAGAGCAGGAAATTCATCTGAGGACAAAGTCTGGGAAGGATGGGCTATCATGGTGGCATGTGAGTTGCACTGTGAAGGGTAAATGAGGTTTCGGGGAAGAGCATTCAGAAACAACCAGAGAGAAGAAAGGAAATCACACAGAAAGTTCAACACGCTTCCAAGAAGTAAACTATCTACTTAAAGAAACTTGATTAAGTTCTTAATTATACAAAAGAATCCAGAAGTATGGATCACCGTGGGCTACAGTAGTGAGGGCCAGCAAAATATGTCACCCCCAAACGGACCAGTTTACATGTAAACTGTTTTGAGCTGAAGGCAATTAAGATCTAGCAGAGTCAGGAAAAGCTTTTTTGCTTCTCTCCTAACTGACTGAAAGAATTTAGATAGGATGTATGTACCAGAAGAGTTATTACCAGAGATAATTCTGGTATCAGAAAGACTCATCACAGGGCATGGCACGGCATACACTTGTTTACCAAACATCCACTCTTCCCATCTTCCTATGTACTGTCTTCTTCCTCCCCTTTAAAGCCCCAGGCTCCCTTCCCCTTCTCCCTAGATCAGGATGGCAGATAAGCCTCCTCCATTACCTCACTGCTGGGAGTCTCATATTTTTGTGGGGCTCCTGCATGGGAAATACCATGGACAGATTAGCCTGGCGGGCTATAGTCTGGGGGGGTCAAAAAGAATTGGACACAACTTGAGTGACTAAACAACAACCCATATATGCAATTTTTTAATCTATTAATCTGTCTTGCGCGCATGCTAAATTGCTTCAGTCATCTTTGCTACCCTATGGATTATGGCCCACCAGGCTCCTGTCCATGGAATTCTCCTGGTAAGAACACTGGAATGGGTTGCTGTGCCCTCCTCCAGGGGAGCTTCCCACATCTCATGTCTTCTGCATTGATAGGTAAGTTCTTTATGACTAGTGCCACCTGGGAAGCCCTAATCTGTCTTGTGTCAACTTAATTATCAGACCAGTCAGAGAACCTAGAAGGGAAGAAGGTAAAGATTTCTGGCCCCTACACTAGTCAGAGAGACCGCAACTAAAATTTAAGCTAGATCTTCAAAACTAAACATGATTTGAGCAAAGGAAGAAAATGATCACCATCCAAGTCATAGAAAAGACAACCTAAGTAAACATTTTTATAAGGGAGGGGAAAGGAAAGAGTTGTTTAAAAGAGTTCTGGAGACTGGTTACTCAACCATACAAATGTGCCTAACACTACTCAACTGAATCCTTAAAAATGGTTAGGGTGGTATGTTTTATGTTATCAAGAGCAAAAAAAAAATTTTTTTTAATATCTTTAAAAACTGGCTTGTGACATGTAAATCCATGGCTAATTCATTTCAATGTATGGCAAAAACCACTGCAATGTTATAAAGTAATTAGCCTCCAACTAATAAAAATAAATGGAAATAAATAAATAAAAACTGGCTTGTGACTCTAGTGATCACTGAGACCACAACTTGCTTCTGAGATATTCCTGTCCTACATGAATCTACTCATGAGGAAATGTCAGACGTATCCAACCGAGGAATATTCTGCAGACATGATTACCTGTGACCCTTCAAAAATGTCAAGGTCAGGCTTAGAGAACAAACTTATGGTTGCCAGGGGTTAAGGATAGCAGGGAAAGGATAGTTAGAGAGTTTGGCATGGACACATGGATAACCAACAAGGACCTACCACATAGAATAGGGAACTCTGTTCAAAGTTATATGGCAGCCTAGATGGGAGGGAAGTCTGGGGAGAGTGCGTGTGTGCTCAGTCATGTCCGACTCTTTGTGACCTCATGGTCTGTAGCCCGCCAGGCTCCTCTGTCCATGGGATTTTCCAGGCAAGAATACCGGAGTGGGTTGCCATTTCCTCTCCAGGGGATCTTTCCGACCCAGGGATAGAACCCAGGTCTCCTGCATTGCAGGCAGATTCTTTACCATCTGAGCCACCAGAGGACTCTGGGGCAGACTGGATACATGCATATCCATTGAGTCCCTTCACTGTACACCTGAACCTATCACAGCTTTGTTTAAAATAAAAAAGCCAGAGTCATGAAGGACAAGGCAGACTGAGGAAACGTCCCAGATTATGAGACTAAAGAGACATGACAACTAAACATAAAATGTAATCCTGGGTTGGGATCTAACAGCACTGACCTGCCCCCAAACTGCTACAGCATTTGTTGCGGGGAAAACTGGCAGCATCTTAGAATTACATGATAGTACTGGAGAAACATTAGTTTCCCTGGTTTTGACAAGTGTACTCTGGTTACACATGCAATTCACTCTCAAATGGTTCAGAAAAAGTGTGTCAGTCTGTGTGTGTATGTATGGAGAGAGAAAGGATAAATTAAATGTAAAAGTGTAGGAAGGGCATCCCTGGTGGCTCAGATGGTAAAGTTTCTGCCTGCAGGAGGCCCTGGTTCGATCCCTGGGTCAGGAAGATGCCCTGGAGAAGTGAATGGTAGGCAGTCTTCTTGCCTGGAGAATCCCATGGACAGAGGAGCCTGGGACCACAGTCCATGGGGTCAAAATAGTTGGATCCAACTGAATGACTAAGACACAAATACACACACACACACACTCAGTGTAGGAAAATCTCAGCGAAGGGTAAGAAATTATTTGTACTATTCTTGCAATATTTCTGTAAGACTGATATTGTTCCAAAATTAAAAGTTAAAAAAAAAAAGACTCTGAAGAACTAGAGTAGAGATCAGGCTGATAGAACTAAAGAGTAGAGATAAGGCTGGTTAGAAGGCACAGGCCCACAATATAGAGGACTTAAAAATCAGGAAGAATTTAGACTTCAGTAAGAAGAAATAGACACAAAAGATGGGGGAAAGTAAATATAACATGCATTTGGAGGTAGCTTGGGGCTGTGGGCAGAAGAGGACAGTTAGGATTAAAGAGTGCAGGGAGAGGAAGCAGAAGGAAAGGAAACTACACAATAAAGGGAAAAAAAGCTTGCCCTCAGGAAAAGACATAGTTCTTTAGCACCTAAGCATAGAAAAGGACACAGGATTCTCTAGCAGGAAACAAACCTCCTTTGACTATTAATTTCTCTGCCTTCAGGGTAAAAGGAAACGGTACTAGACATTCCCTCATTCATGAACACATTTATGAGAGTGCCTACTGCTTGGCAGATCCTTTTGTGGTACTAGGATACACATGAGCAAACAGAACAGAATCTTCATTCTCATGTAATTTACCTTCTAGTGGAGAAGAAAATAAACAAGTAGATAATCCAATAAATTATTTCAGATGGTGCTATAAAAAAATAAATGAGTAATGTGATAAGACTGTTTGGAGTTACCAGGGAAGACCCCTCCAAAAAGATAAAACTTGAACTCAGAAGTAAACCCTGACAAAATCAAGATACTCAGAGCAGGAAGAGAACCAGACACACAGAGGTCCCAGAACAGAACACACACCCTGGTATAGATGGAGCACAAGTCAAGCACCCAGAGTCAAAGGAGATGAAGTCTTCTAGTAGGGGCCAGATCATGTTGAACTTTGTAGTTTAATTTTTACTCTAGATTCAATGGAAGGCCACTTAGATTTCGAAGCAGCAGAGTGCCATGATCTGATTTATGATTTTATAAGTTCACTCTGTCTGCTATGCTATAAAAAAGGAAAAAAAAAACTAAGGGGAGCTACTGTAGTTCAGCAAAATAAGATAAAAGTTTTAGATTCAGTTTAAAGGCAGAAAATAGTGGAGAGGTTCCACTCATAAATATTTGGAAATATGAACTAAAGGACTTGCAGAAAAACTGAACAGAACTCTGAGGAAAAAGTCAAAGTTGAAGATAATAGTTTGCAAGTCACCTGAATTTATGTTTATTCCCCAGTTGTCTTTTGGGCTCTAGATGGACACTTTATCTGTCTGCTAGAAGGCTTCCTTAAATATCCTATTGGAACCTCCAACTCAAATGGTCTAAATAAAAATTTATCACCTTCCCACATAATGAAGTATGTAATAAGGAAGTATGAAAGTAAGAAAGAAATCTTCCTTATTTAAAACCTACTTCTATTACTGGTACCACCATTCACCCAAACTTAACACACTTCAGAGATACTGTCATCCCTTCTCCCTCATCCGCATCTCCTAATCAAAGTATGCAAACCCTATTTTTGTAATAGCTCTTGTATTCACTTCCTTTTTTCCATTGCAAGCCACTACTTTAAAAAACCTCAAACTTATCTTGACTTCATGCTAGACTCTGTTGCCAGAAGACTTTCTATTAAGTTGGATACAAACTCTTCAATCTGACATTTGAAGCTCTCACTGAAGCTCAAACCACATTTCTAGTTTTTCAGCCCTCTTTCTAACACAAGACCCACGAGTGAGCCAACACGGCTGCTATATTCCTTCTAAGCCCAAGTTAAATGCCACTTAATTTATCTCATCTTGCTGTCCTCTTCTAAATGTGATCTCTTCTACCTCTAATCTCCCAGGAAATGATGTTTATAATTTTCTTATGGCTCTTATCACATATGACCTTGCATCTGAGCATTTTAGACATTTATCATATCTCACATGCTGGTTTGCCTGCTGTATGTTCTTTGAAAGCAGAAACTATGACAGTCATCTTTACAGTTCAAATAGAAATATGCTGCACTCAGTAAACACTTCATCAATTTTCATAAAGTTTTACAGACCATTTATGAAAGTCGCTCCTACTTAAATTCAGGGAATAAGGCACATGAAATCTGATTTGAGCTTTCAGCATACTTATATTTAAGCAGGCAATTTGAGCACATGGACATATAAAACAAACCTCTAAAAGGAAAAAAGAGTAAGGACAGGAACTTCATAGAAATTGCAAAAATGAAAACCAAACTCACATCATTTTCCTGGGCAAGTCTTAAAATTTCATCAAGTGTTACAAATGTATCATTTCCTCTCACAGCATCTTTTTCCATAAAACCCAGATGAATATCCGTTGCAACCAAGATTTTAAATGTATTTTCATCATCGCTGCATTTAAAAAGAAGAAACACGTCAAAATAATTTATTGAAAGAATGTTCAAGCAAATTGAACAGCTAAACTAAATCTAAAAAAAAAAATCTAAACTAAATCTATAAATAGCAATTATGAAATAAAATCATTTTTCCAGTTCTAAACAAGATCTGAAAATTTGAAGCATTCACTAGTTTATTAACGTCACAATTTTCCTACCACTAATACAATGTAGAATATATACGCACTTTTTAAAAGGCTCTGTAACTGCTTCAAAAATATATAACTGTGTTATAAGCAGTTTTATACATTCATATGTAACCTGGATTTGAAGCTTATTTTCCTACTCTGTTCCACAGCAAAAATCTAAGAGAATTTGATCTCAGTATCTAAACTTGCTATTTATCTACTTTGCACTTTTCCAGGAAAATTAGAATTACCTAGTTAATTTAAAAAGCACTCCTCTTACTTTATAAGTAGATTTCTATTATAATAAGCTAGTAACTTACATCCAGGCCCCTAAAGAGGCTTGCTTGACTACTCTCCAAATAAAGTTAGCTTACCATTAATGAAGTTGGCCAAGTAAAAAAATGAATTTACAATGCCATTTAAATTTGGTAGTACTCCAAAGATTCAAAGCAGCAGAAACCAGAGACATTACTTTGCCAACAAAGGTCCGTCTGGTCAAGGTTATGGTTTGTCCAGTGGTCATGTATGGATATGAGAGTTGGACTGTGAGGAAAGCTGAGTACCGAAAAATTGATGCTTTTGAACAATAGTGTTGGAGAAGACTCTTGAGAGTCCCTTGGACTGCAAGGAGATCCAACCAGTCCATCCTAAAAGAGATCAGTCCTGGGTGTTCATTGGAAGGACTGATGNCATCCTAAAGGAGATCAGTCCTGGGTGTTCATTGGAAGGACTGATGCTGAAGCTGAAACTCCAATACTTTGGCCACCTCATGCGAGGAGTTGACTCATTGGAAAAGACCCTGATGCTGGGAAGGATTAGGGGCAGGAGGAGAATGGGACGACAGAGGATGAGATGGCTGGATGGCATCACCAACTCAATGGGCATGAGTTTGAGTAAACTCCGGGAGTTGGTGATGGGAGGCCTGGCGTGCTGTGATTCATGGGGATGCAAAGAGTCGAACACGACTGAACTGAACTGAAACTTAATATAACTTTTAACTGTCTTTAAAATAATTTGGTATCTCTAATCTCATCTCAACTCTCACATATAAAGAGGTGAAGTATTATTGTTTCTGAAAAACCAGAAGGCTAAATACTAGAAATTAATTGATATATCATGAAACAGAATGGCAGAAATGGTACTAAAAGCCAGGATTAAAATTCAGGCTATTTTCATTAAAATATACAAACTTAAAAACAAACTTTTATGTATCTCTAAAATTCAAATCTTTATACACGGGAGAATTTTCCAGAAAAGATGTCTCTTCAGAAAGTTCAAAATGATATACACAGTTCTGACTGCTATATACATACAGATTAAGTCATAGTACTTTCAAATCACATTACTACCCAGACTCCACAGCAATTTCTAAAGTATTTTCACTTGAGTTTTTTTCATTTAAATATGAAAATTTATCTGAGAGTCACTTTACCTTGATGATACAAATGAAGAAAACGAGGTGAAGTTTAAAGGCTTGCTAACTTGCTCAGGGTCAAACAATACTAATCAAGAAATTAAAACCAGGATTAAAGACTCCAAGTTGGAAGCTTTTCCCACATTACTTTTCCTAATTATTTTACTTATTTTCATTTTAGTCAGATTCATTTGCAATTTATTCAGTACGAGGGCAATTTATCCCTCTAAAAATGTGCTCTAAAAGACTTGCATTAGCTAGTAAGACTTAGTTCAAGAATATTTATAGCTTCAATAGTTTAAAATAAAAACCTAACATAAATTTATACAGCAATATGCCAATCTACTGCAAAACCCCAATCTATAGCTGCATATTATCTTTAATAAACATACAGTATGAATTGTTAACCATTCTAAACACTCTTTTTGACGACTAACACTTGTGTTCATGCAAGCTCTTTATTTACTAAGTAAGTTTTCTTTTATGGTGACGATAGTCGATAGGCTATTTGGTAGAAACCCAAACCAACAAAGATTTCGGAAGAAAGGTGCTTACAGAGCATCCGCAGGACTCATTTCTATGGTCAGTCCACCTCCTCCGAGACCAGTTCCCTCTGCAAGTACCCTTGGGTCCGGTGCTCAAATAGGTCAGAAAACTCACTCGATACCAAATTCTAAAACAAAATTTTATTTAAAACACATTTTTAAAATGTAGACTGGCAATTTTGAAGAGTCTCATTTTCACTTAATCACCTACTGTATTTTTATTTTTAATGTTAACAACAAAAAAAAATAGAGTGTCTCCAGTGCCACTTCAGTTTTACCACTATAATTAAACTCCTCTCCTAGCTCCTTTTGCTTGCCTTGTGGGAAGCTAATGTTTGTTAAATGAATGGGCAAAAGAGTCACACAATACTTCGGGTTTAGCACACGAATAACTGAACAGAAATGTTTAAGTTGCATTCAAGGGCTACTCTGGAGCCTAAGAAGATCCTGTATTTCCTGCTTAAACACAGAATTACTTTAAAGAACGGGCTTGTTTTGAAAGGATAAGGGGTTCACGTTTGAATAAACAAAAACATATCGTTGAAGGAAAATAGCCGCAGGAGCCTAGTGGGCCACAGTCCACGGGGTCGCAGAGATTCGGACAAGACTGAGCGACTTTACTTTCACTTTTGAGGAGGAGAGGCTGCCACCGTAGAACGACCCCTCCCACTCACAGATCGCCGGTTCGGTGAGGATTCCAAGCCTCAACGCGCCCGCACCACAGAACTCGCGGAACCTCCAAGCTCCTCCCGAGCCTACTCGGCCCATTCTTCCCACAAAGTCAGTCCTCTCTGGACTTCAGCCCGCGACGCCGCAGACACAAAAAGCAACTCGCAAATTACCCCAAACCTGGACTCACCACAGCCCCACCCTGGGGACCCGAAGCTGGCTTTTACCGGGAAGAAGGAGGGACAATCGCGACAACAAAAGCAACAGCACCACCCGGGATGGCGTCACAGAACTGCCTTGTTGGTAAATGTGAATTAAGCGGGAGAGTAACAGCTTCTCCTTCTCTCGCGATGCCTCATTGATGACGCAAGCGCTTCAACTCCTCTCATTGGTTGTCGAGTGCCGCGAGGTCGCAAGAAAAGTTGCCGCGAGGCCCCGCCCTCGTACAGGAGCCAATCCTGAGTAGCCCACGAGACAGAACCCGGAAGCGAGGTTCGCGGCGGAGATTTTCCGACTCCGAGGTGGGTAGCTATTTCTCGTCTGGGGTCACACTTCTTGGTCGCTTGACGCCACCTTTGAGCTCCTGAACCGAAAGGAGCGGGCCCCTGTGGACCCCTGGTGAGCTCTGCAAACCGGGCAGCGAAGTAGGTCCTCGGTAGGGCTGGAGCGGTTTCTTCGGGCTTAGAGGTTTGGAAGGCCGCATATGCGCCTCCTGGGCCTGTGAAGTGACCGGCCAGTGCCGGAGGGTCGGGACTGGTGGCCTTCTTTCTCACTACCCTCCTCAGAGACTGAACATTCGGCCTCTAGCTAACAAGCCTTTCCCTGTGTCTCCTGATTGTCTCCGTGGACCCCAGATTCAGCACACTTGTATTGCTTTGTGCTGACAGTGCATTAAAAAAATAATAATAATGTGAAACTTTTGAATTAGAAAATCTGGGCCTTTAGTTCCATTGAAAGTTGTTTTAATCTTTATAAACTTAAGCGGCTTCGCCTGTCTAATGGGGCTTATGGCTCCACCTGTCGCTGAACTGTCTAAGAGTTGACATAGTTTGTGGAATGTGATCTTTAAAAAACATAACCTAGTTCCTCCTGTTGCAATATCATCAAGTAGAAATCTTGATCGACTATTTAAATCTTAAATCAGGGAGATGCAGCAGAGTTTGCCTTTTTAAATTAATTAAGAAATTTTTGTATGTAATTTATTTTACCTGGAACAGTAAATTCAAATTTTAAAAAGAGTTTTTGTAAAAAGGAGAGTAAGGGCACAAGGTCTGTGCTATAATGTTGCTGTGCTATACCTACACTCTCAGTAACTTCAGTCCTGTTCGACTCTTGTGACTGTGGCTTGCCAGGCTCCACAGTCTATGGTATTCTTTAGGCAAGAATGCTGGAGTGGGTTGCCATGCCCTCCTCCAGGAGATCTTGACCCAGGGATCGAGCCCACCTCTCCTGAGTCTCCTGCATTGCAGGTGGATTCTTTACTGCTGAGCCACCAGGGGAAGCCCCAATAATATTAACTATGGATGCTGTAATTAATATGTGAACTTTACATTATTTACTGGTATTTAGTAAGTGTTTAATGAATAGATGTATATTGCGTTGTAAGCATCAGAGAATAGTTTGAGAAAAAAGTGAAAATATTAAATATGAAAACCTTTTTGATAGGGTCTCTTGACTGATCTGAAAAACTGAACTATCTTAGAAAATTCCTTAGTGCAGTCCTTTCTTTGTACATAGGATCTTCCCTAGTGACTCATGGTAAAGAATCTACATGCAAAGGAGGAGACCCAGGTTCTATCCCTGCATGGGGAAGATCCCCTGTAGAAGGGAATGGCAACCCATTCCAGTATTCTTGCCTGGAGAATTCCATTGACAGAGGTGTCTTGTGGGCTACAGTCCATGGGGTCATAAAGAGTTGGCCATGACTCAGTGACTAACACTGCATTGTGCAACAAAGTAATAGGTCCAGAGAAGGTATTGGTCATGAGTGATAGATTTAAACTTGATTTAAATGCTCTTGGCACTAGTATTAAAATACAATGATGCATTCAGTTCAATTTAGTCACTCAGTTGTGACTCTGCAACCCCATGAACCGCAACACATCAGGCCTCCCTGTCCATCACCAACTCCCAGAGTTTACTCAAGCTCATGTCCATTGAGTCCCCGATGCCATCCAACCATCTCATCCTCTGTCTTCCCCCTGTCCTCCCGCCCTCAATCTTTCCTAGCATCAGGGTCTTTTCAAAGGAGTCAGCTCTTCGCATCAAGTAGCCAAAGGATTGGAGTTTCGGCTTCAACATCAGTCCTTCCAATGAACACCCAGGACTGATCTCTTTTAGGATGGACTGATTGGATCTCCTTGCAGTCCAAGGGACTCTCAAGAGTCTTCTCCAACACTACAGTTCAAAAGCATCAATTCTTCTCTGCTCAGCTTTCTTTATAGTTCAACTCTCACATCCATACATGACCACTGGAAAAACCATAGCCTTGACTAGACAGACCTGCTGTCAGGTCTGTCTCTGCTTTTTAATATGCTGTCTAGGTTGATCATAACTTTCCTTCCAAGGAGTAAGAGTCTTTTAATTTTATGGTTGTAATCACAATCTGCAGTGATTTTGGAGCCCCAAAAAATAAAGTCAGCCACTGTTTCCACTGTTTGCCTATCTGTTTACCATGAAGTGATGGGAGCAGATGCCATGATCTTAGTTTTCTGAATGTTGAGCTTTAAGTCCTCTTTTTCACTCTCCTCTTTCACTTTCATCAAAAGACTCTTTAGTTCTTCTTTGCTTTCTGCCATAAGGGTGGTGTCACCTGCATATCTGAGGTTATTGATATTTCTCCCGGCAATCTGGATTCCAGCTTGTGCTTCCTCCAGCCCACCGTTTCTCATGATGTACTCTGCATATAAGTTGAATAAGCAGGGTGAGAATATACAGCCTTGACATATTCCTTTTCCTATTTGGAACCAGTCTGTTGTTCCATGTCCAGTTCTAACTGTTGCTTCCTGACCTGCACACAGATTTCTCAAGAGGCAGGTCAGGTGATCTGGTATTCCCATCACTTTCAGAATTTTCCACAGTTTATTGTGATCCACACAGTCAAAGGCTTTGGCATAGTCAATAAAGCAGAAATAGATGCTTTTCTGGAACTCTCTTGCTTTTTCAGTGATCCAGCGGATGTTGGTAATTTGATCTCTGGTTCCACTGCCTTTTCTAAAACCAGCTTGAACATCTGGAAGTTCACAGTTCATGTATTCCTGAAGCCTGGCTTGAAGAATTTTGAGCATTACTTTACTAGCATGTAAGATGAGTGCAATTGTGCGGTAGTTTGAGCATTCTTCGGCATTGCCTTTCTTTGGGATTGCAATGAAAACTGACCTTTTCCAGTCTTGTGTACACATCTGAGTTTTCCAAATTTGCTGACATATTGAGTGCAACACTTTCACAGCATCTTTCAGGATTTGAAATAGCTCAACTGGAATTCCATCACCTCCACTAGGTTTGTTCGTAGTGATGCTTCCTAAGGCCCACTTGACTGCATTCCAGGATGTCTGGCTCTAGGTGAGTGATCACACCATCATGATTATCTGGGTCATGAAGATCTTTTTTGTACAGTTCTTCTGTGTATTCCTGCCACCTCTTAATATCTTCTGCTCTGTTAGGTCCCTACCATTTCTGTCGTTTATTGATCCCATCTTTGCATGAAATGTTCCATTGGTATCTCTTATTTTCTTGAAGAGATCTCTAGCCTTTCCCATTCTGTTGTTTTCCTCTACTTTTTTGCAATAATATGTTAGGATTCACTCAATTAAAACTCATGAAAGTTAGGTAGAAATCTGTATCTTAGGAGTATGAGTAACTGTATTTCTCAGAATCCATTCCAAGCAAAATCAAGTGATAGCACTTTAATCATGTTAATTATACAAATGTTTTTAATGCTTGTTGTATATAAGTCAGACATAAATGTAAGTTAAATATAGTCCCTATCCTTAAGCTCACAGTCTTTTTAGAGGCTAAAACAAGAATAAAATTAGTGATAAGACAGTATGTATCACCAAGAAACAGGAGAAACTAGAGAGATATAATATGCAGGCTCAAGAAAGACTTGAGAGGCAACTTCTGGGAAGAGTCTTAAATGACTAAAAAGATTTCAACAAATATAATTAGGAAGCTGAGAAATATTTTTAAAATATCTATTATACTAATTTTCTTTAATTGGTTAAACTTTGATATGCTGTACAACTTTTTTTTAATTAATGAATTTATGTTAATTGGAGGCTAATTACTTTACAGTGTTGTGGTGGATTTGCCATTCATTGACATGAATCAGCCACAGGTGTACATGTGTTCCCCAATCCCATACCCCTCTCCCACCTCCCTCCCCATCCCAATGCACTGGCTTTGAGTGCCCTGTTCCATACTTCGAACTTAGACTGGTCTTCTTTTTCACATATGATAATATACATGTTTCAAAGCTATTCTCTCAAATCATCCCACCTTCGCCTTCTCCCACAGAGTCCAGAAGTCCGTTCTTTACATCTGTGTCTCTTTTGCTGTCTCTCATTTAGGGTCATCATTCCCATCTTTCTAAATTCCATATATATGCATTAGTATACTGTATTGGTGTTTTTCTTTCTGACTTACTTGACTCTGTATAATAGGCTCCAGTTTCATCCGCCTCATTAGAACCAATTCAAATGTGTTCTTTTTAATAGCTGAGTAATATTCCATTGTGTATATGTACTACATCTTTCTTATCCATTCGTCTGCCAGTTGAGATCTAGGTTGCTTCCCTGTTCTAGCTATTGTAAACAGTGCTGCAATGAACATTGGGGTACATGTGTCTCTTTCAATTATGGTTTCCTTGGTGTTTATGCCCAGCAGTGGGATTGCTGGGTTTAATGGCAGTTCTATTTTCTGTTTTTGAAGGAATCTCCACACTGTTCTCCATAGTGGCTGGAGAACACTAGTGGTTCTCCACTAGTTTGCATTCCCACCAATGGTGTAAGAGGGTTCCCTTTTCTCCACACCCTTTCCAGCATTTATTATTTGTAGACTTTTTGATACCAGCCATTCAGACCAGGGTGAGATGGTACCTCATTGTGGGTTTGATTTGCATTTCTCTGATAATGAGTGGTGTTGAGCATTTTTTTCATGTGCTTCTTAGCCATCTGTATGTCTTCTTTAGAGAAATGTCTGTTTAGTTCTTCGGCCCAGTTTTTGATTGGGTCATTTATTTTTCTGGTATTGAGCTGCATGAATTGTTTGTATATTTTTGAGATTAATTCTTTGTCAATTGTTTCATTTGCTATTATTTTCTCCCACTCTGAAGGCTATCTTTTCACCTTGCTTATAGTTTCCTTCATTGTGCAAAAGCTTTTAAGTTTAATTAGGTGCCATTTGTTTATTTTTGCTTTTATTTCCACTACTCTGGGAGGTGGGTCATAGAGGATCTTGCTGTGATTTACGTCAGAGTGTTTTGCCTATGTTTTTCTCTAGGCGTTTTATAGTTTCTGGTCTT